GAGTCTAAGTTGTTAGACAAGTCAATCTTTGAAATTGATTGTTGTTGATAACATGTGTGCCAAATTCTCTGAACATGCTCATTTAAGTAAATATCATAGTACAGATAAAACTGAGATAAGTCCATCTAAATTACAAACAATTCTCATTAATATCACAAGAATTGGATGGTAAATCGAGACAAAGTTAATGCCAAATATTAAAATCAAATTGAACCACCAACCTCTCATAAACTAGTAATTTCACCAAGGCCTATTTATTCACGCCAAGAAGAAAGATAGAAAAAACAGCACTCAGCTATACTCACTTTTATAACATATATTTTGTTCTGTTTATATAACAACAGAGTACTAAAAATCCCACAACTATAAATTTCCAGATAAAAAAGACAGCACTCAACTCCAAACAGAGGAGGAGTAATTATGATGAGAAGAAGATAAAGGGAACAAGATTAACCTTATTATCAAATAAAAGTTCCAAAATTAAATACAATGAAAAGAAAAGTGTGCATTTACCTTAATCAAATCTAATGTAAAGTAAATATGCTCTCAGCCAATCCACATATCAATCAACTGCACACCAGAAACATTTTTTTACTATCATATTTGAGAAATTACAATTCTGTCCTCCCTTTACTCTGAAGCCTCGTGTGGACTAACGGTGAGTGCGGACGAGTAGTAATGAGACTCGAGTTCCTTGAGGCTAGCTGCAACCTCCTCCCCAATTCTCGACAATTTCCCATTTGTAATTTCAGCCAAATTATTGAACTTTGTGCGTTCTCCGGTCTACATGGTGCAGCTCTGAGAAAAATTGCAATCTGCTTCAACTCCGAAGCCAATTTGAGCAGCGAGTCAGCAGCAGCTTGAACCTGATATTTGTGGGTTCAAATACCAATTTGAACACACAAGCAGCATTAAATACAAAATAAAATAGAATCAAGAATTTTCGTTTCTTTCTTGCTGTACTTAAAATCCTATAACTCCAAATTTCCAGAGAAGTTGGCACACATTGGTTAACAACATTAATCAAATTCAAAGATAGGCTTCGATATGACTTGCCTCATAACTTGACAAACCGTCTTCTTGTCTCTCCAAATCTGCTAATAAGAATGAAAACTAATTAAATTGTGTTTGATAATATGGTTTCAAACAATTACTTCAATATGGATAGTTGTGACTCTAAAATCGTGTTTACGAATAAAACTTTGGGAGGGATCTCAAATTAATTATAACACTAGGTCCGAAAGAGACGATTATGAGCAAATAATTACTGTAGAAAATTAGTACGTAAACAGTCATTTCATATATAACACATAAATATAGTCTTTTATTTGTCTAAAAATTAATTAATAGGTATAAAATGGCAGTTTATAGGGCATGGGTTTATTAGTTGAAGCATTTACTCTACTACTACATCTTCAACTCGACTCGTCTTGTTTGTTTTGTTTGCAGCGGGTTAAAAGGGAATGCGCTTTTGTTTAAAACCTTCAACAAGATATGTTGCAAACGTTGGAAAGAGAAAGTTCAAACTCTTAGTTACATATTAGTTACGACAACAAATAACCGATGTACAAAAAATGTTGGCACGAAACAAAATGTCCAAACCACGTTTCCAAGTTTAGGATAAAAGGCGCCTGGCTAGCAGAGAGAGTTGAGTCTTCATAATCATAGGCCCCCTCAAAATCAAACTCAGTGTATTACCTCAATTAAAGTGTTTCACAATTCAAAGTTCAAACAGCAGTGTACAAATTAATCAAACATTCACTGTTAAAGTACAAAAATTCTTAGGTCAAAATAGCTCCAAGGGATAAATGCAAACCTGCGTTTTCTGAGATTTCCCTGCTCTTTTCCGGTTCCGGCGGAATTGGGTAGCGAAACGAGATTTGTCGGTTGACAAGGATAAGGTTAACGGGCGGTTAGTGCGGCTTTCTGCTTTTTCTCTCTCGTATGCCATCTGGGTAGATACAGTAGCAGGCTTCGCCGATTGAGAATAGGGCGGCAACAACTTCAGATTTGGATCCACCGATCTGTGAAATAGGAAAAGAACAAGAATGATGGAGTATGAAAATTTTGCTAAAAAAAAATTTGCAGAAAACCCCCGAAGGAAGGAAGGAACGATCGATTTGGGAAAAAAAAATTTGGACCATTTCTCGATTTATGCGTGTCATCCTTGCGCAGGGGCCATGCTAATCTTCTCTGTATCGTTCCAATTTTATCAGATGTCCCCGAAGGGACGAACCATAGGCTGAAGCTAACATTATATAAAGAAACGAGATTCTGCTTCCATTACCGATGTGGGACAAATATGAGAGCTTTTCAGCTGGAGAGTTTTATTTGGGCCGTTGCTTTACTAATTTTATTTGGGCCGTTTTGTAAGCTGCTTTACCAATCGGCCCAATATAAGGAGTCTCTCTCTTTCTTCTCTTAATTTACTAGTTTTATTTGGACATTTACTTTTGCGTTAGCGGTAAATTGTTTTCATTTAGGTTTAACTAGTGTAGTCACGGATGCTCGAAATTAATATGATTAAACAACATGTAATATAATATCGAAAAGGAATAAAATTTAATTTAATTTAATTTCTTTATATATAAGTAAATATCATTTTGTAGTAATTTTGTTTCGATCAGTTGATCAAAAAATTCCTGATAAAATTTATTGTTTGCTTTTATAAATATTTTATTTTACAAATTTTCCTTTACATTTTCATATATATGATATGATTAAATATGCGACACACACACACAATTCATGGAATATCATAATTTTTAATTGCTTAATAATTTAATTACCTATTTTTATAAAAACAATATCATAATAACATTTTTCATTTTTTTTTATCAATTCGTTACTACTTTAATTGACACACGAATTTAAAGGTGAATTAATATCTTTCGTTTAACCCATCCATCAAATTTTATTAATGTTTTTGTTTTATCAGTATTTCTATATGTGCCTAATAAGCGTTTAATGAAGATTTATTTTCATATGATATAGAGTAAAAATATGATATTATCAATATTAAAATAATATTTTTTCATATAATGTTGAGCCAAAGAATAATATTATCAAAATTGGAATAATATCTTTATTTAAGGTTTATTTTCATATAATATAGAGTTAGAGCATAATATTATCCAAACTGAAATAACAATTTCTTCATTCAATTAATCGATAAACTCGTCACTTAGAAAGTATACACCAACCTTTAATAAATGAGACCGGGATTTAGAAAATATAAATCAACCTTTAATAAGCCAATATCTAGAATTAATATTTACTTGTACGACACCGCAAATTGAATTTATGAAATTAGTTATTTGCTTATTGTGAAATCATAGGAATTAATGTACAATAAATAATAAGTAACTAATATAATGATAACTATTTAAAACAACATGCGCTTTTACCCTCGAATTGTCAAAAATGATGATAAGTTTTAATTATATCTATAAAATTATATATGTCTAATACAAATATTATTTACAACTCTGAAATATTGTTTTTTAGTTTTTATATTCAATTGGTTAAATTTGAATCAGTATGAGGTGCATGATTGTTTATAAATATATTTTTAAATATCATATAAAATATTAAAATAATATCATAATAAATTATTATTTTTATTTATGTTTTTTATCTTATCTTCTAGCTAATAATATTCTATTATTGAAAATATAAATTAATTTTTATCAACATAAATTTCTATGATTCTATGAATTGTAATTAACAATTTATTATTACTTTCAACTTTGATATTTACTTATATTTTGTTAATTTCTACATCATAATAACATTAAATAAACTTTACACTTTATTGAAGTGGAGATATAAGTTTTAGAATTTTGTCCATATTCATTCTATGTTTATACTTTATCGCTCCATATTTTTCCTGCTATTGCAAAATAAGGATTTTATTAATTTATGGTGAAATAATATAAATATTTTTATACAAAAATATATAGTTCCATTTGTAATTTTGATTTGATTTGATAAATGAATTTATTTTTTGTTGTAAAGATAGATGAAATTAATTTTAAATATGTATATGTGACATGGATGTCAAATTGAAGATCGTAAAAAATTAAATAATTTGACAAATCATATATAAAATATTAGATACAAACAAAAAATGTATTAACTCTTAAAATCTCTATATATTGAAAGAGGTTAATCGAATAATCTAAAAGTAATTTTGACTTTATAGTAAAATAAATTGACTTACTGTTAAAGGAAATATTACAAAATTGCCTTTAATATTTATAAAAAAAAATAAAAATCAAATTATACAAACTTGTTGAAAATCAGTCAATTCGGTTACTAGCACGACTTATATAAATAAAGTGGTATTCCTTGTGAAAATTATTTTGTGATAATTATCGCAATAAGGATTCAATTCTTCATATTAATTACGGATCACTGATATTTTTTATTCTTTTTGTACTCAACTAGTTCAATTTTTCAAATATTGAGAACGCAATTTTCCACAATATCAAGAAAATATGAACTATTTATTTTTAATATCAAACAATATTTATCCTATCCTTAATCAAATCATTTTGTTGGGCATCCAGTCATATATAGACCGAAATATGTGTGAGAATATTGCAAAATATAAGTACAAAATAAATTTAGAAATCTGTTGCAAAAATATTATTGATATAACTAGCACAATATTACAATATAATTGATATCTCAACATTAATAACAAATCCCTCCAATTTCTATTATTTCGTAATGAGCCATATACCAAAACTCATCTATTCAACAGCTTCATTTATATGTATCTTGTTTGAAGTTTAGGTCACCAATTAGGGTGGGCTCATTGTATGGTTATTTGAACATTGGGACTTCGGTCTCTCGGCTTGTACATTATGTTATATTGAATGAAATCTATCGTTTTGAAACAAAGAAAGGAGTTAAAAATTATCGTTTTATTTTATTAATAACTGCACCATACAATTTCTTATAAATTCATATTGTGATTCACAATATAATAACAAATATCATATAAATTAATAGATTACAAATTTTAAAATATTATTATTACAGGTTATGAGAAAAAATAAAATAATTAAAAAATTAACTTCAAAATATTATATATTACAGTCTATTCAATTTAGTGTTGGTTATAATATTTGACACAATATTTCAACTTTAGCATAAAATATTTAGAAATCGACATAATATATTGTAGTAAGGTATGAGAGAGAGAGATTCTGTGAGTATTATTTATTGATAATGTTTGAATATGTTAAATTTTCATTATCTTTAATTGTAAATTGGAACTCTAAAATGAAACTATTTTATAATGAGTGTAATAAACATATAAATCATATTAAATTATAATATAACATAAAATAAAAGAAAAATTAATATTAATATTCAGAACTATTTTTATACGAATCAAAATTTCTTCATTGGTTTAATACATGTAATTTGTAAACGTTGCCTCGTGCATCGCACGAGCTCCATACCAGTATTATAAAAAAAATATTGAATTTACTAAATGATAACAAATAATATCAGTTATGTATGGTAAGATTTGATTTGGGAAAGAGATAAATGAGACAAAAATAAATGCATACTGCCAAAATTGCAATAAATTATTTATGTTAAATATCACACTNATGTATACTCAAACCAAATTACGAAACACATAATATTGTCATGTCAATATCCGAAACATGTAGACTGTCACTTATGCTCGTCACATTTTAAAACAATAATAAGACATATAGAACTACGAAGGTAGACATGAACCACGTCCAAGCATCAGAAATCGATATATAAATTACAAAGAAGCAGAAGATGGTATATAAGTTTAGGAAACACTGCATCATAAAGGGAATATGACATGACAAAACAAAATAATAACATTAATATAATTTATCTTATTTATTATAATACAACCCGTGCATTGCACGCAAATGTATGCTAGTTTATAAACTATCACTTAATATTGTTGCATCATTTGGCGAAATTTGTAGGCAGTAAAGATGTGTTAATATTAGTAAAAAGTTGTCTATAATGATATAGATCTAACTCTAAGCAAATTTAATTATTCTAAAGCTACTTATTTCCAATGGAGTAGATCAATGTTATAATATTTTAAAATCATGTTCAAGACACTAGTACATATCCGTGCGATGCATGGTTAATTGATTTTAAAGTTAGGTTTATAAATTAATCTATTAGATTATGTTTATATAAGGGTTCGAAATTTACTTGAAATGGTATGTGTAATTTTATACTAAACATTTTTAGTTTCTAAAAAAGAAATTTTTTTATAATTTTTTATTTTTTCCTTTTTTGTCCTTTCTAGAATTGCATATTTTTCTGAAATAAATATTTCTTTAAAATCATAAAGAAATTAATGTTTTTATAATTGTAATGGTTATTGCAAGATTACTCAAACTGAATTATAAATAATTATTCAACAATATATAAAATAATAATTATAACAAATTGTCTTAGGTTATATATATAATGAGAATATAATTTACGTTTAAAGCACTTTGTTCGTTGTAGCACTATTTGTTTATGATATTTAATAACTTATGAAAAACATACTACAAAACATCAATTGATATGCAAAATATATTTGTTATGTAGTAACTCATGCTGGTACCGCGTCATCGTGTCAATTGTGTAATCAATCAACTAATTTAAATTTATTAAATTATTATGTTTATTGTTTTATAAATATGAATAAAGTAAAAAATAATTGATTTATCTTTAGATATATAATTTAAAATCTTAATATATTCTCATTTATTATAAGCATTTTCTATATGAACCTTTTTTTTTTATTTCATAAAATCATATTTAAGAAAAATAAGGAAATTTACTTGAATCAATCGGGTGACTGCATTAGATTACTGCCTAAGTTGACTGAATTACTTGTAGGTGACATTCAAAATATTCTAAAAACATGTCACAACTAGCAAGGTGCCGTAAAGTCGGAGCATGAGGAGTGAGTGAAACACATTGGATTTCTTGGTCTTACCCGGCGGAGGACGAATTGAAGGTCAATACGGATGGCAGCTTTGTCCCGACGACGAGAATGGCGAGTGCGGGTGGTGTCAATCGAGACCAGCATGGGAATTGGGTGTGGGGTTTTATAATGAACATCGGATTTTGCTCTATTATAGGTGCAGAATTATAGGTGTTGTTCCAGGGCCTACAGTTGGCCTGGGATATTGGGTCCCCAAGAATTCAAGTTGAGGTTGACAACCAGAGCATCATTGATATGGTCGCGGGCGAGACTTACAGTGGCCCTTATGGGAGCATTTTGAAGGGGGTTCGAGAACTATTGGGGCGGCATTGGTCCGTGGAGGTCGTTCATGGATATCGGGAAGCCAATTTTGTTGCGGACTATTTGGCTTCTCTGGCGGCGAAGAGTCCGGGTGGTCTTCATAGGTTGGAGTACCTTCCTCCGGGGGCAGGCATTTGGTTACATCATGATATAATCGGCGTGTCCTATCCTCAAAAGCTTCTTAGATAGTTTGTTGCGTAGGCTTGCCTCCCTTTCTTGTACCAAATTGGGTTCATCTTGAGTGACCAAGTTATGGGTCAGACAAAATCGATTATTGAAACTAACAATATATTTTAATATTAAAAATCAATATTAAAATAAATATAATGTAGTCCAAGCTGCAAATAATCATATTATGAATGCTTTTATGACAACATGTTCAACAATTTAAGGGTATTTATATATCATTTTATAAATATTTATGTGAACAAAGTGATATTGTATTACAAATTTCGTTAATGTAGTAAATCCAAGGTTATTAGAACTAGACCATCATTGAACCGATCAAGTTATTTATTCAACGATTTATTGGTTGGACCGTAATTTAATTTATTAATATTTTAATATATATATATATATATTACTTTATGTAATAAATTTATAAAAAATATATTAATTCACTATATTTACAATTTAAATTTATTAAATGTTTAAACTAATAAATAAACAATTTAAAAATCATCATATTATTTAAATATGTATTCTATGTATATTAGAAATAAAAATAAATGCAACAAAAATTATTTAAAATATCGTATCGATCCTACCAATTCGAACGACTGTTGTTGACTTGTTCGCTCGCAAATGTTTTATTCAAGAGAATCAAACCGATTCAGAAACCAGATCCTGGTCCATTTGGTCGGACTGACTGGTAGGGCTAGGCTTGTTTTAAAAACAATGGGTAAATTATCATTAATGTTATTTATATATTTAATTTATAATGTAACTGCTTGTTTTTTGTGCATACATGCCACATACTAGTTGACCATTAAATGTAAGATCACACTATGTTATATTGTCCACGTAAGAACTGCGAAGTCATAAAAATATGGGGTTTGTTTCTCATTTTGAAGTGATTCAAACAACATAAAATTAACCTTTAAATGCACATAAAATTATTTCCCTAAAATATTTAATTCTCAACACAATTAATATGTATAAGCACCGACAATGTTCTCTGACTTTCTTGAAAAAAAAAAGTCTAAAACCGAAATGTTATATGTTATTTCTCGAATCACGTAGTTCATCCTACCTATACAAATAAACGAGGTTGAAGATATCAGTACACAAATAACAAAAATTTTGTCTAAATTTTTATAATATAATGCAGTAAATATTATTTTGTCTGGATTGTTCATTGTACATACCTATTTTTGTTCATTGTACACAAATAATATAACAATAGGTTATTCATGAAGGATATATCATCTTCGGAATAAGAATGCCCGAGATGTATTTGGTGAACCGAGTCACTCAGGCAGTAGGATCGAGCAGACCTTCGGGCAACCGAGTCACTCGGGCAGTAAAATTAGACAAGATTGGATACCAAGTAAAAATTCACTATATATAGGTATCAGGTATAAAGGAGTAAGGGTTACACCCTCCAAGCTTTGGAATATACTTACACTTCTCATATATTCCGTGAACTAGCTTGATCATCCGAAATCTACCGCCAAGAACACTCCCAACGTGTTTTGCAGGATACTTCCAGAGATCAAACCAGTTCAAGCTCAAAGGGGTAGCGGTTTGTGAAGGAATTGCTCATCACACGTTACTATCAAATAAAAGTTCCAAAATTAGATAAAATGAAAAGAAAAGTGTGCATGTACCTTGATCAAATCTAATGTAAAGTTAATATGCTCTCAGCCAATTCACATATCAATTAAATATACACAGAGATTAGTTTTCCAACCTTAAAACCTCTGTTACTTGAGTTCATTCAGGACCACACCAGAAACATTTTTTTACTACTAACGGTGCTTTTCCCGAGTAGTAATGAGACTCGAGTTCCTTGAGGTTAGCTGCAACCTCCTCCCCAATTCTCGACAATTTCCCATTTGTAATTTCAGCCAAATTATTGAACTCGTGCGTTCTCCGGTCTACATGGTCATCCAGAGATGCAAATCCCGAGAAAATTGCAGTCTGCTTCAATTCCGACGCCAATTTGAGCAGTGAGTCGGCAGCTTGAACCTGATATTTGTGGGTTCAAATACCCAAAACACATAACCAGTATTAAATACAAAATAAAATAGAACCAAGAATTTTCTTCTTTCTTTCTTTCTTGCCGAATATATGTTTCTTAAAACCGAAATTGGAGGAATGTAAATAGAGAGTTCAACTAAGCTCTCACCATTCTAGCCGCATGCATTTCCATCATGAAAGACTCCTGGGAGTTCCGCACGGGTGGATCATTAACCTAAAAGATGCACTACAGTTTCCTTTAAATCTTCATTCATATTCAACATTGAACCAAAGCAAGAGAATACCATAGTTGAGCAGAGAGACAGATGGCATTGCTAATAGTCAATCCATTATAAATCCGGCCTAAGATTCTATTCAAAGGAACAAACACTTTTAAAAAATTAAATGTGAAAAAATTACGACTAACTGACACAAAGTTGCAATGCAGAAAAACAGAGCCATCCACCAAAGTAGCTACCAATAGGCAGTGTCACATTCTTACTCTACCCTAAGGGAAGGGAACGCATTTAAGGAGGTGCCCTACATGAAATATGTCATGTTGACCTTAGATATTCTTATAACCACACCAGTTGTCTCTATGAGGTTCAAAACTCAAACACTAACAAACAAGAACAGAGAAGACGGCAATCCAAGAATGGATAGTTGGAATGTGAATCAAATATTACATTTTGATGTTAAGGAGATCAAAAATTATGTGGTACCAATCAAACGGGGGAATCATAATTGATAACATAAACACAAATATACAGCAAAGAAGAGATGGTTAATTAATGAGTCATGTCAGAACAAAAACAAATTTCTATCAATGGCGGCAAGTCTTTCTGCAAAATGCCCTAGCCAGAACAGATTTGAAACAAAAACACAATTGTTTGCTAATTCAATAACTCGGCTCTTTTAACATCCCCAAGCAAGAACTATGAAACAATCAACTCCTTCACAAGATAGTAAAACGAAATTACGTAGGCCAACACAACACATTCCGAAAGCATCACTACTGCTATATTATAATATCATTTTGTAGTCAGTATACTCATTTTTTTCCCATTTACTTCCTTTGGCCTTCCTGAACTTCCCAAAAAGCTGGAAACTGACAATATGAGCTACATAAGCTTAGCAAAATGAAATTTCTGAGTAAAGAATTTCCTGATGAAGCATTATCTGCTGCACACAACATCAAACTGACTGCAGTTCTGAGCATACAACATTTGTACAACTCTCGGTATCTAAAAACACAAATAACTTTTAAATAAAAAAAAAAAAAATTCAGCATACCCGAGTCACGTTGACTATGTACCCAAAATTGTCAACAAGATTTCCAATGTCTGTGTCCACTCTCTGCAGAAGGGTTTTCTGTTTTTGTGCCGCTGCCGCCGCCGCAGCGGCAGTCGGCCCACTGCCGCCACCGGCTCCACCTCCGAGGCCCACTCCTTTGTTCATGCTAGCATATGTCAACATGACATAAGGAGAATAAATATTATAAAATCAGGGGGGAAAATATCCAGTATTCAAGATTCAGTACATGTCCCATAGAATATATCTAGACTCTGGAAGCAAAATTGTTTGATGTAACCGTATCCTAAATTTAGGGGGAAAAATATCAGGTATTCAAGATTCAGTACAAGGCATCAATTATTCATATATGTTTGAAGATTCTAGGATAACTGATTTCCAGTTAAACCCTGTGTTATCAGGATTCCTCCACACATTAACTAATATTTTTCTCCATAATTTGTCAACCTTCAAAGTATAATACAATTCTTATTAACACTCCTTTCCAATGACGTATGTTTTAAACTACTGAAAGCTTCTCAAGAAATAGCCAAAATACCCCAATAAATTGCATTCACTCATCTTAGACTATTCTACCAGCAAAAACCTCATTCAGTTTGTCTGTTTTTTTTTTTATATAATCCTAAGTTGATGTCGTAGCTCTGATTTAAAGCAAAAAACCTCATTCACTCATGTTAGCTCTGAGTTAAAGCAAAAAACCTCATTCACTCATGTTAGCGCTGATTTTCAGCAAAAAACCTCATTCTCTCATCTTACCTCTGATTTTCAGCTCATAAGCCTAAGTTGATATCTTGCATTGAGGCCTACATTGGTGACTTTAACCTAAGTCACACAAATTCAGCTTCTTGTAATGCATATAAGAGTAGCCACAGCTGCAAATACCAAATTTCCCCTCAAAGCCACTCCTCAATACCATAACTATCCGTCCAGTCACTTATATGACTTAAAAAACAAAAGAAACCAAATTATGTGGATTATCACTCCCTATAACACCTCCTCTGTCAGCAACAGGTTCTTAAAACTCACGCCGACTGTAATACACACAGAATACCCCAACGAAGCACAGAAAACAGAGAAAAGGGTAATGAAAGCCAAAAAGGAAAAAGGGAAAGCAAAGAAACACATGTCTCGGCTGCCGTCGACACCGTAAATCGCAGGCATAAAGAAACAATATGAAACCAACTTTCGAAAACAGAAAATCGACAAGGAATCACATTTTAGACCAAAACAATCATTTCAAACCGCAGGCATAAGACCAACAAAATCACACAAAATCTTCGCAAAACCTGCCAAAAATTTTCAACAAAATCCCAATTTTACATCCCTCGCTGCCGGCCTCACCACTCTTGTTGTTATGCTTCCTCGAATACCTCTAACAGATTTTTTTTTTTAAAAAAAAAAAACCCATAACCCATAACAGATTTTTTAAATTAACTGAAAGCCAGACAAAAATTGAATCGAATGTGTACCCCTTTGAGACTGCTGCTAGATGGTCTTCCCGCGACGGTTCTCGGGGCTGATGCTCGAGAATTCACCACTTTCTTATCAATGCAAACCCTATGCCGATGTCCTGAGCTCTCAAACTTTGGGTTTCTCTCAATGACGGTGGCTGGGAGCGGACAGCGGAGGTTTATCGATGGCGAGGGAGCGGTCGAGGGGCGGAGAGCGGCCGAGGGTGCAAAGGGAATGTGTATGTCTGTGTATGAGATACCCAATTTAGGTTTTTTCATATATACCCATACTTCCATCCAAATCCACAACATAGACAGCATTATAAACACTTGCAACACAGAGCGACAATAAAACGAGCATGGGAGGCAGAAAAATGAAACTCGATATTACCTCAATCAATCTTGGAGTATAGGCTATAGCTCCGGACATACTCAGTTAATGGTGGAAAGCAACTTCACTATCAAATATTCAAAATATAGACCTTTTTGTTTTTTTGTTTTTTTGTTTTTTTTTTTCACACGGTAAACTAGAAATATATAAACTCAAATCAACGTTTTACAACCGAACAATTAAGTGCATGCTTGTTTATGAAATAATTCATTTCACGCTCAAAATCTAACTTAACTTTAACTCAATCCCAATATTATTTATATTATTTATATAATTAAATATTATAAACCAATCATTTTTACATATCACATCAACTTTAATTCACTATTTATCTACTCACATAATTTTAACTACCTATCATTTTCAATCATTTCCAATCATTTATATCCTACTTTTACATCAAATTATTAATAATCATTTTATTTTAAATATTATTTTAATATATTATTAAAATCCCACTAACAATTAACCATACTATTTTTTTCAAAATTAACTCTAGTTAACTAAAATAATTCATTTTGAATGAAATATTTCATAAACAAGCACGCCCTAAATGATTGAACTGGCCACCGATCTTAAACACCAAACTAAAGGAAGGCGGGCTGCTCGAGCTCGTGATCGTTTACGTGTTGGGATCTGTGAGGATCTCGTTATGTACAAATCACGAATTCAATAGCAAACGTAAACCTATGCGCAGCGGATCTAAAGGTTTAACGTAGAGAACTTACGGCTTAAAATTTATGTAGATCTGGTTGACCACGAACGGTTGACCGCAATTGATTGACCGCAACACGCGTCTTGGGTTGCACGAACAAGATCAGATCAAAACTGGATCAAACGGATGCAAACAGATCAAAACGAAATTTTGCTGCCAGACAC